AGACTGAGCTTCGTCTGGCCTCTAGCGTTGACCTTTCAGACATGATTGGATCTCCGGCTGTGAAAAGCCATCCTGTGTAGCTCGCAGGGTCATGGAGGCACGCAAGCCATCACACCACGTCAAGGTGCAGTCTCGTCGTGATGGATAGGCGTGAGGTAATTAGAATGATGGCACAATCATTCATATTCAGCAATATCGTCTTGAACGATGGGCAGAAAATTTTAGGACAGTTTGACTGCCCCCCATCGGCACTAGACCCATCTAATTACTGCTTCTACTGGGCATATACTGCCGGTTGATACCATTCCTCCATCTGAAATGGAGGTTAATCGGAAAATAAATTATCCCAAAAAGCATAAAGCCTCCGGCCCGAAGCGTTATTCCCATCGGCCTTCAAGGGTGAAGCTCCAGCCATAGTTTTAGGGTAGACAAAGCTCCTGGGCTCAGTATGGGTGATGGAACAAGTTCCAACTGAATGGTGTGAATCTTTTATCTTACTGATTTACAAGAAAATAAACGAAAGATCCTCTTGTGATAACCAAAGAGCAATCAGCTTGATGAACGTTATCTCTCCTCGCAGACATTTTAACCCGTCGGTTGTCTGGCCCAAGTAAAGAATCGCCCTAGTTTTAAACCTGACCGAGGTTGTATCGATCACATTTTCACTTTTCACGGACACGACTTTTCTAGACCCACTGTTTTTATTTTCTTTTATCCGAAAGCGGCTTTCGACTTAGTTGACTGTTCTATAGAGTGGCGCAGCCTCCAGGATGGATATTTTACTCGAATTGGCGTCTCAGTTGGTAAAATACTGAAGGAGTAACTGATCTAAGTAGATTGGCCTCCACATCTTACTCGCTGCCTTTCGGTCAGGTCCTTGCCACGACTAGAGGCTTCCATTGAGAACCCGTTCTCCTGTTGAGTGGTTTAACTCTAGCATTCCCCGTCCATAATTCCATACTTCATCGGTCTTCGCGCAGGATAATGAGGACAGGGCTGCCCATTGCATCGAGCGCGATGGGTAGTGGTAAGTGGACTACTGCTCTGATATCCCAACTCTTTGTCTCTCTTGATAGTCTTGGGTGTGGGTTTCACTCCTTGGGAGGCCTGGTGCCCCTTAACAATCGAATGGGCTAATCCAAGGTTGCTACTGTAAAGTTGATCAAACCATTCGCACAAGGATTACCATAGGAACCGCTAGCGTCTGTAGCGATAGCCCAGGAAAAGCCGTAAGAAATATTCCCAAAACTGGTGGGCCCCTTACCTTGTGCGTGGTAGATATAAATCGTCTAGAAGTCTTCATCTGCCGATGTTGATGTAGTTTGGTGCGGGTTGGATGGAGCGAGCATGTAAGCAACTCCCATGTAAGCCGTCGCATATTTGGTATTGATCCGGTGGGGAATTCGTTATCACATGGAGTTCAAATTAGTAGACTTCGCTGGCTAGGACACGTATTGCTCATGACCACCTGTCGTCTACCGCACCGCGCCTTATTCGCCTTTTCCGCTGCAGGTTGGAGGAAACCACGTAGGGAGCAATAGGTGACATGGAAACAAGGCGTGAAGAGCGATTAGGTAGAGTAGGTGTCTCCTGTTTTCCATGTTGGGGTCCGAAAGCCTCTGTAACTGGTTAGTTGGAAACACTGAGTGATATGGCAACTACCCGACAGTCGTAGCGTTCCTGTTGTCATTTTTTACCAAGTCAGATTGCTTGCAAAGGTATGTATGCACAGTTAGATTGTGCACTCTGTGTTGACCATAAAGGTTCACTTTCTTTGCTTCCCTCCAATTAGGCCCAACCGCTATCTTTCTTGTAATTTCTCACTTTGTGTACACTGAGAGCTTTGTAGCCATTAGTGAATTTCACTTTTTTGTATTTCACTGTACGATTATGATGATGATGGCATATGCTAAACTGTTTGAGCTGGTATATACAGACGACATTGTACCACTAAATGGAGATTCGGGTAATTTGCAAGCTTTTCTTAGTAGAACGTATGCTAGTGTATCCATGTTTAAGTGTAAAATGTTGCTACAATACTGAGTAGATCTAGCCCCCAACCTCACTGTAACTGGAGAAGTATTTGAATTGTTGGCACGTATCAAAATGGCTCAATTGGCATTTGCCAACTTGATACACTTATGACACCGTCGCAACGTTCGGCTGTAAACGGTCAAATGTTGGATTCAGCACTTCGGCCAGTGGCGCTCTACGATGTCTAAAAAATGTCTTTTGCTTCCTGTTTTATGGAATATACAAATGTACAGTCAACATTCAGGACCGGGGGCCGCGGCCATACACAGGCTGTCCGGAAAATACAGAATTAGGGAGACTTGAACATTACGGGAACAGGTAAGAAAACCCTGAGTTGGGTACTTGCTCACATAAGGCTTCCAGGATGGGGATATTGGGGTCAAGGTAATCGGTGGTTAGAGACACTGAGTGTCACAAACAGTGGCATTCGTGCGTCTATTCACTATCCTTGCAAACCCAGTCTATGTATATCATTTTTGTTCACTTCCACTCTGCTTTGAACATTCCAATCTTCCATCTGCTCTTTTATCTAATTGAGCAGCCTAAAGGCAGCAACCAAAATCTTTGCACGAAAGTGCATAGTTAATTTTTGTTAAAACTGAAACTGATACACTGTCGAAAGTGGGTTTTTTTCTGGTCATTCTCTCATGATTGCTGACCACTCACAGTTTAGGGCACGCACAGGTTATTGTCTCATTTGATTTACGCAAGATTTGTTGATAGTCGTGTGTGCGCGCGTGTGTAGGTCTATGTAACCATTTCAGTTATTCAGTGTGCGAAAACCAGCTTAATGTCAACACGTGATAAATGTATTCCTTTCATACATTCTGCATGTGCACCATACCGGTATTCCTTTTTATCTGTTAACAGTTTCCGCGGTAGGCAATTGATCCATTCTGGTACGGTTCGTAGTCTAGTCATGACAGGTCCGACCCAACCCTGTAACCGCGTCTCACACTTTGGGCGTGCAAAACACAGACCAAGCTAAGCCATCCCAACGCTTACTAGCTTTGCTGTCGTACGATTCAACCTCACGTAACGCGCCACTCCAGGTCCTGAGGTCCTGGGTTGCCGGTTATCGTGAATTAGCAAATCTTCATGACTACGGGGTTTCTCTCTTCAATTATCCGAATATCATTTGCGATAAACAAGACGGCCTCTCGGGAAAACAACAGTTGTCTTTACGAAAGGAAAGATGTAGAATAACATTGTTTGGTGGTGTCGAATTGTAATCGCTCTTGATTTTTGTGCTCTTATAAAAGGAGTGAATCAGTTTTCCATTGAGTCTGCTTTTCAACCCATATCCAGGACCGGGACCAACGGAGGCATCTGATTTCGCGCTTGGGTTCTAATGAATCTTCAACTTCGTTGTCCAGCGTGTATCCGGCTACCTCATGTGACACTACCACACGATCTTCCGTGGCTAGTGAAGACTTAGATTCCGATGTTACTGGATTACGACCTCGTACTCCCGGTGCGAGGTGCACGCGTCCGATTGAATATCGAGAAACGAACTCAAACTCGATTAGCCAAACAATCGATACCTCGTTCGACCATCTGATTCCTACAATTGCGCAAATATTGAATCACATACCAAAACAACAAATCAGAGCCGCACTGAGTAAGAGATTGTGGATGGATTTTTTCCCCTTAGGCGTGTATTTCTTGCATGTATATGTGAAAAGTTGCTGGTCTGTTTTGGTACAAAACTAAAAATGCTTGACGTTAGGTTTGGGTTTTCGTTTTTAGATTGTAGATGGATCTCATCGAGTTACCCAATTTTAACACAAATACATACATTGATATACGTAGTGCAAGAGAATGATAGAATATCATTTTTTAGCATTGTTTACTTCAGACACATCTGCACTCAAAATATACCGTTTTTTCTTCGTCATTGCTCAAACAATGTTGCCACCACAGACGGTCGATGCGTCAGAGACAGTGATGATCAAGTACGGAAATGTCCTCCACGTGGAGTTGTCAGATCTCGGAACTGCAAATCAAAACATTGCGAACTGTGGTGTAAATTCGTCCATTTAGATGGAGACAGATGTCATGGTAGTGCAGCAGATTTCTTATTTTACCGAACGGTGGGTGTGGGTTTTGTTATGCGCAATGTTATCTCATCTCAAAGGTATTCACTACATACAGCTGATCGTCAGCAGTGATGATAAACCTTACAAATTCCTGTCAGTCATGAACAGGCACCTTGCACTTGATTGGACAAAAGGGCATACCATGCCGAGAATGCCTCAGTCATCAATCGGTTCAGCACGGTTCTCTGCAATCTCTCTTACTGAACAAGATGGCATCATAGACACACTCTCGATCGGTAGTTCTCTCCCAGAGGAGGCCTCAATCTTAGACCCGATATTATCGTTTATGTTAGCGTGTATGCTTTTTAACTGAAATGTGAGCTCCAGTACTTGCAAAAGTTATACACAATACACAAAAATTAAAGGGGAATACGAAACAGCTCTATTGAACTCCAAATGAGATGATAAATAGCGCTAGATGGTGGTGATACACCCTAACTTGATCCAATGTGTGCGGAATAAAAGAACGCTCGAATGTCAAGACAAAAGGACGAATTCGAAATGACACCGTCAATTATGCTACGTACCATCTGTAAATAGTTTGTGTCTGGAATCGATCATTCTTCAGCTGTGATCGTTTTACACAATACAACTTACATATATATTCGTCCAAACGGACCCGGCATGTTTTGTGCTACACCGGGTAGTCTACACTGCCATGCACTTTTGATGCCAGGACTAGACAGCAGTGATAGCTCGCCTGAATATCGATCAATGGGTGTTATCCTCTAGTCAGTCCTTCGTTCTATCCGGACATTAAGATCTGAGATATTAAGAAGGTGGTGACCAAATCCTGACTCCACATAGGTGAGCACCAAACCAGTAATTCAACCGCTGTAGTAAAACCGCAATTGCTACTTAAATTGAATGATTTCGTTCCCGTTAATTCGCTTGTATCTATTGAAAGCAGCCATATTCGGCTCATTGAGCTTTCACGTGTTCTCCCACTTTTTAGTTGAGGCCAATGGAGATGTGGACACGGCGATCGATTTTCTGCTATCCTCTGCTGACGCAGACGGGAAAGATAGCACGTTATCTGATTCTTCTGCTGTAACTAAACCATCAAACACAAGTCTGGTCGCACCAAGTCGGTTGAAAACCGCGGCTGAGACGTTTCACGCTAGCTCAACGGCACGGCAGTTAAGTTTAACAGAACGACGTCAAGCTTTGCTTTCACACGCACGCAAACGTTTTCTGGTTACCAGTAATCCCGAGGACCGGGCCGAATAAACTCCGCTCCTGTCCTCCTTCCTGACGCATCTTCATGTGCGTGGCCACCGTGAGTGATAACAACTACTTACACTCTACAGAAAAATGCTATTCGGATGTCTGTTCATCCATCACTACGATCGTGTTTCGGCTACTCCTTTCACCCCTTCTGCTACATTCGCCTTACTTTAGACGTATTGTCTTTCTGCTTTTGTGATTATTTGTCGAGGTTTTTTCTCTTTCCTGTGTACCCCCCTGCCCCACTCACTAATCCGCACCTCTGTCTTCTTCCTCCTCTCCCCATTTACAGACTATCACGGTGGAATGATGTTTGTATTCTGTACACCTCACGCGCTGGCTTTCTTTTTTTGGGGGTCATATACCTAAGTGTGTATAATAGCCCTCTGATTTTGCATTGGTTCACCGTGTTGTATACCACCGATCTTGTACAATCCCTAACATACTGGGACTTGAGGCCTTTAAACTGGTGAACCACCGGAGGGTACCTAAAGTATCGAAACAAAACAGCTCAGTTTCTTAATATGATTAAATTTAAAGGTACAATGATTCTTGTATTCCTCAGATACTACTTCATATCAGTTCCTCCAGTTTTTCTTTGGGGTCAATGAATGGATCTGTTGCTCCAAGTATGCCTCCGACGTTTTTAGCTGAATCTTGCGGAGAAACGATGATAGATGAAAAGAAAGTAACAGGAACGACAAGCTCTGTAGTGTACGTGTATACCACTATGGTATACGCACAAATGAGGGCGTTGTCGAAGCATTGGCATTTCGCTCATATATGTGCATTTGGCTGGCAAACGTTTGCAATTGATTCATCCAAAATAGGACGATCTAACACATGCGTTTTCTTCCTCACCAATTAGTAGCTTAGATAACAATGCTGGCATGTGAGACCGCCTCATATTACGGTGTGGAAAGGCAATTCCCGCATCTGATCAGCAAAAGAGTAAAATACTGGTCCAGCGAGTTTATTCGGAGCGATAATTCGCCATGATAGAACTGCTAAATCGCAAGGGTAAACTTTGAGGGACTTAGGCTGGATTCACGAGTGCTAATAGAACAAAAGCTAACTGAATTGAGGCGCATATGTGGACAATATACTTTGTCCTACAGGAACAGATAAACGAGTACACAAAAAATACTGTAGAAAGAGGCGATTTACTTTGAAATTTGAAACAAAAGCAACCAGTAGGCGAGCGCAATGAGAAGTTTACTGTGAAACTTCCTCTCTTCCACAGTTCTAGTTAGCTTGCATGTTATCCTCTGCGCGGTTTTGTCTCCCTTAACACATTGCGATACCGGTTTAGTTCCANGTTCCACCGTTCGTGACCTTGGTTGGCAATCGGTAAATCTTTAAAACCTTGCCCACGAATCGTTCTGAAGGAGCACTTTCCGAATAAATCCAACAGTATCTATGCGTGATTTCCTCCTTCCGGTAGTCAGGCACTGAATCGAGTTGCTCTTTCGTTCCAATGGCACCAAGCTTTTGTAATCAGTATATACCGATTTTTCCACGATGGCTTCATGTGAATGGTGCGCTGGTGAGTTCCGTCTGACAAGTGGCATAATGGAACGTTTAGGAATGCTATTTGTTCAATTTCTCTTAACTGAGCTTTATATTTCGGTTTATGGGGTCAAGTACTCGAGAGCATAGAGAGATGGACCCTGTCACCAACAATACGCAAAATATCAAACTATATTTTTGTTTTACAATTTGTGACGATGGTGTATTTGGACAATTAAAACAACCCATCGTACTAAAAGTTCTCAATAGATTCCGCACGAAGCTGGCTGTGGCTAAAACTTGCTTTCGATTCGTCGATGAATGTGTGGAAAATTCAATTCCCCAAAACCAACTCCTAGTTTCTGTAACCGCGTGGTGTTTGTATTGCAAACGCAACCCGACTACTTTATGATGTGAGTGAGAGACACGATCGTAGAACAGCTTGAAGAACTGAATGGGAATTAAATCAGAAGTGCTCGTGTTCTTAGTGTTGCCACTCGAAGAATGCCGACGTGCAGAACCTTGTGTTCAATCGGTTAAAGAAAAACGTCAAACATGAACCACGGAAAACGAGTTCGTAAATTTTCTCTATGTAATGTATTCGTCGTGGTAATGAGGCTTGAGCTCAAAAAGGCTGGGAAGTGGGTGGCATACTTGCGTCCTACTTGTGAGATCTCTGGGTCGACCCCCAGTTGGGTCGATTGATTCGAACTGCTGATGCGACCCGACTAGGTGGAAACAGTTATCCCGTGCTTCGCAGCTTTTTAGATCACGCTTCATTTAGACAACGAATCATATAAACAGATCAAATACTCCATTACTCCCACCTATCAAATTCTCATTTGTGGGATTGAATAACAGGTGAATAACAGCTCTTCAATAACACCTACATGCAAAGTTAGGAACTTTTTTGTCGCGGATGCGTGGCAACCAGCTGGCATATTTTGTCGGATCCATCAGGTACCGCGGTGTTAGACGCTTGTGTTCTCGTTTTGTGAATAAATTGTTTTACACTAGTACTTCCTGTCAGGAAGGCCAAAATGTTGTCGAACGTTGTGAATATAACAGGACCAGTGGATGGCTCGCGAAGCCACTCCATCTTACAGAACAAAGGGAAATAACTGAATTCTAGTTAAGTAGATTGGCAAAAGTTTATTGGTCAAAATGACCTCGGAGTAGAGCAGACCTCTAAAATATCAGCCACTGCGCCAGTTGCTGGGTCCATTTACCAGAGCTGGAAAGAAACAACTAGGACGGCTTCAGAGAATGTTTGCACACCAATTATAGAGTGTGAATCAGTCACGGCAATACTGCAGTATGTATAAAGACGCACTGCCGCCCACCTAATAAATAGTGTTAGATTCTGTGAAATTAGTAAACCATTTTCTGCTTGTATGAACCCACACCTCATACACAGAAGCGGTTATTCTTTGGTTTTGCGGTGCGCTCTTCCATACCTTGAAACATGTCTAGTTGCAAACAGTGTAAGTAGCTATTTCTCGCTCCATTTGACAAAATCGAAAGTGGGCTGATACATCGTCTTTTTATGGAGTAGTACGAATTAGACAGTATTAGCCGAAAGGAAACCCATGGAGTTAGAGAGAAATGATGTTAACAGCAACAGTTAACCTTTACCTGCCAGTAAATTAATCTCAACGATTTACAGCCTGGTATGACGCTGGCTTCAGCTGACGCCACAGACGAACTTTATCTCCAAACTGACTCTCAAGAAAAGTCGATTCTATTGAAGGCTGAACCACGCGTAAACCGCTTTGAGACTTCCTACTGATGGTTGCGGCGTTTCACAGGATGTAACAATCTTCGTGGCGACACGATGAGTGGAGAGGCAATAACTGAAGTTGCACAAGATCCGATTTGATGCATTCGTGTAGTACTAGTGATTACAAAACAGCGCTACCGAAATTCCCACACTGTGAGTAGGTAAATGTCGTGAGATGATAACACTGTCTGTTCTAATCAATCGCTGAGGTAAAACAAGTTGATCTATCATAGTGGACGAACGTGCAGACGCAAATGAAGATCACTAAAAGCAGACTGATGTGCACCAAAAGCTGAGGCCAACTCTAGACCAAACATTTTTAACCACAACTCTACTGGAGGAATCGATCTTAATGAAACGCAAACAGTTGGCAAACCGGTTCTGTCTCACACAACGTGCCAATTCATCGGCAATCACAGTGAAGAGTGCGCGCCCTTCGATTGGCTGCGCTACGTTTTGTGTGCTCGCCGTCTCACTGGATTTTATTGTTATCTCGACGTCAAACCTGTTCCGGAACTATACCTACTCTCGTCAGGATATGATTAGATTGAAATCTGTGAATTCCGTGCCTCACACAAATAATATGCTTGG